CCAACCAAGGAGCAGGATGTGCCGCCAAAAAAGAATGTGTGACTCTCATTCGTTCAACTGCGGTATGCTGCCTTATAATTGTTCGTCTACGACTTAATTAGTGCCATCATAAACCTAAGGCAACAAAGGAGGCTGTGCTCCGAGACCTTCGCCAGCTGAGAATCCTTGACCGGGCCATGGTGATTCCGGAAAACACAGATGACATTTCGATGCCAGCCTGAATCATGATTCGGTTGGCTAGTTGATCATGATGATAGATACATCATGCATACTGTGCTCCCAAGGTCCTTCACCCTCACTCCAGGCCCCAAGGTGCTGGAGAAAGCAGATGATCTTGGCATATCCACAGTGGGTGTTTTGTGTCTTGGCTGCATGTAATATAAGTGGTCGTGTCCTGCTGGTATGCACACATTTAAACCCAGGCTGGGTGGAGCTTTCTATGTGTCCCCTGTGACACCGGAACGCATTGACTCTGTGAATGCCAACAATCCCAAGAGCCAAGTCAAGGCAGGTCGTAATAATTCTGTGCACCCGAACGCACTCTGTACTAATAGCTATATATTTCTCCCAATTCACAGGCCAACAGCAAGAACGGCGTGAACGTCAACTGGAAAAAGGGAGACTTGGGAGATTTGCAAGAGAAGTGCTTTGGCTGCATTATTTGTAATAATACAGCTGCAGTTGCAACCCCTGACACAGATTCGAACAGACTTGCAGAATCCCAGGTTTCGCCTTGCAAAGAAAGTGGCAGGATGGCTTGCTCCGTACTGGCCACTGCCAGCACCGATCCGACGGAGCAGCAAGAAGACGACATGAATAGCCTCATGTGGCATGCAGATAGCATGGATCTTCCACGTGGCGAAGCGGGGATGCCGCAACAGGAAAATCTGTCTTTGCATGGAACCACATGAATTGCAGCCGGTCCTGTGCCAGTGCTGCCTGCAATTTGCAACTCCTGACATACCGCAGGTATTCCGATCCATGTGTGTCGTTTGGATTCTACTACTATGCTATTATAGAGATCCTTAGACTC